CCCCCCTAAGAAAAAATATCAAAGTGCCGACACCAACACCCCCCAGAAATTAAGAAATTTTTGCCTTATCCCTCAGAAAAAAATGCAAAGATCAAAGGTTACGGATGCACGCAACCCCTAGAAATGGCTTTTTCAACCCCCTCAGAAATTCTAGTCCATGGGGGGGGGGGTATATTAAATGGATGGCCCATTGCCACTTAAAGGGTTAAAAACGTAAATACCACAGCACAACACTTGTACATATACATATACAAGTAATACAACAGCAATCCTTTTATATATTTAATAGTCATATATTTACATATTGGTGAAATATCAATGTCCATATATTAGGGATGTCCATGAACTTGTCCCTAGTTTGAAGCTAATGTATTCATATATTTTGTATAAGTTGTCCCTCTACAAACCAACTTATAGTCATTATACAAGAGTTGAATTTGCATTCATTTGCTTCACAAGTCGCAACAAACTGAACAAAGTACTAAACCATAAACCTGTGCAATGATCGAGCGTCTTGAGCGACATATCCAAGTCTTTTAAACGTCTCATTGGAACAAATCTCACTGAGTTTTTTCTACAGAAAGTATTGATCCATTTGATAGATCGCCGTACTTTGAGAAAAGCTTGAAATGCAAAATTCACAGGAAAGATTGAAGAATTTCGGAGATAAAAACTGTTTGTCTTCGAGTTTCACCTGTTCACCCCCCGGTTGAGAAAAGTAACAATTACGTAATGTTGGAGTCACATGACCAGCGTTTACCAGGGCTACGTCGCCGCCTTCAATTCGCGACTAGCCCTGGGTACGAGGTTGATTTTTGTGAAGGATTGTAGATCTCCTATATCTATGGATCTACAGGGTGAGTAAAAAAACTGATACCTTCGCGGCTAATTTGAATAACAAAGGTCTCAGTTTTTTTTATACTCACCTTGTATAACTGGAAACAATAAATTATGACTTTCACCATTGTATTTGCAATAAAGGTATATTTGCCCTATTGTGCCTATTGTGTTTCCACTGTAGCTAATTAACTTAACTTTCTTAGTGTAATCAATCTCAGGTGCTGTTAATTTACATGAATCCGGATTGACTTTCAATCCGGGTCGAAATGTCAAGTCAATCCGTGTTTACATGGAAAATGGGTTCGAGGATTGGAATTTACGTGGGAAATTTCAATTCCAAGATGGCGAATAATGTAAATCGTATCATAGCAGTAGTTTTCTTTCCGGCTCTTTCCGCGCTAATACACTTAAACACGTGCATGGGGCTACTGATTTTGCAAAAAGTCATTTTAAGAAAGAGAAAAGTAGCCGTGTTATCTTATCCGGTCGCTTTCTCATTCCAGAATGAGTTTCGGTTCGTGTTTACATGGGATCGAAGCCAAACTTCGATCTGGATTGAAATCTCGATTCGGAATGATCGAACTCGATCCGGATTGAGTTGTAACTCATTCCGGACTCATCTAAACATTTAATAGGGTTTGTATTAAAACAGAATGAGTTTATTCTGGATTGAAAGTCAATCCAGATTCATATAAACAGCACCTTACTGCAAATATTCAAGGAATTTAGAATATATTTTGGTAGCACATTGCGTCTCCAAATTTCGGCCACATTCCCGTCGAATAACAGCGAATTAGGCTTATGGAAGCAAGACTCAACCTAACCTGAAGTTCAGGCCCTAATTTGAAATAGGGCCTGACACAAAACCTGTCTAGACCGTGGGACGCCCACATGTTATTTTTAGACACACATGCAATATGATTGACAAGTGTTGTAGATTTCGATATCGTTACACAAAAAAATTATATTCTCATGAACATGTCCGCAGAGTATGCATTTTGCTTTTTCATTAAACTTAAAAATTCAAGGTTCTGTTATATATTTAAGAGTCAGTTTCTCTATTTAAATTTAACCGAACAGCAAGCAAAGATTTATATTAATTAGTCAGTTCTGTGGACGGCTTGACTGCCAAGCTTTCTCAAGGTCTCAACTTGCTGAACGCGGATATACTCTATAAACGACTAACGGGCTAACAACAGCAACAATTAAATTCTCAATCGTACCACGAAGAAGGCGATGTAGCTCAGAAAACAACGCCGGTAGGACCTGATATTAAAAATAAGACTTTTGCCGGCGAAGCTAGTTGGCAGAACATCTCGGCTGTCAACAACAAGCTTTCGAATACATGACTAGTTTGGCTGTTCTTTGAGCGTCGTGTGTGTCCAAAATTCGTCAAAGATTTTGATAAAGCCCTTTCAAAATACTGTTTGTTTGATTTATGTTCTGCCATAAAGCATAAAAGAAAACAAATTCGAAGAAATCGATAATGGAATTTGTTACGTGCGTTTGACCTTTATATTAATTGTCGCCTTGAGCGAGCTATTTTTAAAACTGTTGTTTATGTGAACATGCAACCAATCAAAATCCTTCATGATGCTGATCAACCAATCAGATTTCCCGTCCACCAGGTGGACGGGAATCCCACAGTTTAGATAGGTTTTGTGTCAGGCCCTATTCTGTGAATATAGGGCCTGAACTTCAAGTTAGACTCAACCATGTTCCTAATTTGTTATATACATGTTTTATCTATCCCACACCTGACACCATGTTGTTATTTCAAGTTATATAAAAATATATTTGATAAAGTACATAAACATGCTTATATAAGCTAAGTTAGTTACAAAAGAGATACCTCACCCAGTTACGGCAACCATGCCGGGCTATGCCTATCAAATTACTTATTTAACAACATGAATACATTATATTCTACAGAAGCCATTACCAATTTTCCATCAAAATGTTTGCGTTAAAAAATCATTCTTTGTTAAATTCTTATTGCAGTCAACTCCAAGAAGCAAATCATGGAATCAATTACATAGTCAACAAAATAGTCAATGACTACAGTATATAGATATTCATTCAAGATAAAAGAATGATCTTATATTCATCACGTTGCGGTCTAGCTGTGCATGCGAGTTGTTAAAATTTCAAGGGGGCAACGCGTGGGCTGTATCTATAAGGTATCAGTTACGATATTTTGTATTAGTTAAGATATCTGTTTCAAATTATTGTTTCATCTTTCGTAAGCAATCAGTTATGACATTCTGTATATCATATCACTGCTTTAATCCTTTTTAATTAGCATATTATCATTTTATAGATGTTTTCTAACCCCCTCCCCTAAAAGGCATGGGTGTTTTACCGTTTGCCAATCATATATTACTTAACTGGATAGTTTGTCATTTAGCCTATTAGCTAAAATTTAAGACACCTTACTTTCATGATGTTTGTGATATTACTCTGCGTGTATATCCACACCGGGCAAGGTTGAAAAATATGCCTGGCCACGGTGGGAATCGAACCTACGACCTTTGGAATACTAGCCCAATGTTCTGTGAACTGAGCTACGCGGTCAGGTTGGTTCGAGTATGTGATATTTCGGAACTGAGTCTAGTTCCTTCGATACCAGTGTGCTGATTTAATCAACCCAGTCGTAATATTACACATGCAATGGCCAAACAAAAACATAATAACTACTGGTTGCTCTAGCGAAAATTCAATGCACACGTGACGATGAACCGACCATTTTTTTGCATAAACCAAGAGAAAAAAATAGATAATGAGGTCTATTATGTCTGCATCGAGTTTTCTAACCTTCTTATTATCCTATAATATCCTATCTTATCCTATTAACCTATTATATATATATATATATATATATATATATATATATATATATATATATATATATATATATATATATATATATATATATATATATATATATATTATACCTCACAATGAGCTTGTCCAATCAGAGAACTAAATTTGTACCACATGACCATGGTATTTTTCAGCGAATACTATGACCTAGGCAATTTGAACCCTGGGTGTTTTACCCGGGGCAATGGTATTCGACTTCGAATACCACGCTTGAGCGGGAAATTCGACTTTTTTAAATGTAAAGTTATCAAAAGTTGTGTTTTGAAATTAAAAGTTAATTGAATGGTATTTGTTTTCTACTTATTTTTGAAAGGTTCGGTATAATATACCATTTATAGACCTTTCACTCGGGGTATTCCACAAATATATATATATATATATATATATATATATATATATATATATATATATATATATATATATATATATATATATATATATATATATATAGGACGACAAAGTAGGATGCGTATGTGGGACACACAAAATATTATAAAAGTGACAAAGTAGGTCATATCTCGAATACGCATGCGTACTACATGTCGTAGTTTCAAAGCAGCGTAAAAAGCCATGAACGGACTATGACTTTAGTGTGTCCTGCTCTTAGCAACTGTGGACAGCTGTTTCACCCTTTTGGGGCTCATCAGCACAGTGTAGCTAATGGATGAGCTGCATCTCCAAATATTTATGGGACGACAAAGTAGGATGCGTATGTGGGACACACAAAATATTATAAAAGTGACAAAGTAGGTCATATCTCGAATACGCATGCGTACTACATGTCGTAGTTTCAAAGCAGCGTAAAGAGCCATGAACGGACTATGACTTTAGTGTGTCCTGCTCTTAGCAACTGTGGACAGCTGTTTCACCCTTTTGGGGCTC